TTTGTAAGTAGTAAGGAAGATTAATATGTACAAAATTTCAAAACAGACACATACATCTGAGGTATAGGATGTTAAGTAAATGTTAATGAATTGTGTAAGTAGTAAGAAAGATTAATATATACAAAGATTCGATACACACACACATCTGAGGTATAGGATGTAAGTAAATGTTAATGAATTTTGTTAGTAAGAAAGATTAATATATACAAAAATTCAAAACACACACACACACATACACACATACCATTGTGTGTATGTGTGTCTGTGGTTAGAAAATAGTTACGTAATCACCATATTGATAACCAACCCAAAATATACACAATTAAGCAACAAAATAACACACATGCATGCATAAAAATAAAGACCGAACAAGTTAAGATATTAAGATGGACGAAAAACAAACAAAATACAAACGCAAAATATATATTATATATATAATATATATATATTATATATATATATATATATATATATAATATATAATATATTAAACAAAAATATATCAAGCAAAAACATCACCCGAACACAAGCCGACGATCCGAAATACCTCGTACTGTATTCGAATCTCTTTATCGAGTTGAGGCAACATCTCCACGAATTCGGACACGGGATAATTCGTGACGTCACTGTACAGAATCTCGAGCAGAAGATGATGAGCAAAACGGTACTGCATCTGTGATAAGGAGAAAGATTAACAATATCTGTAATTTCTAGTACTACTTCTTATCTTATCTTTCATAATATCTGTTATTACTAGTACTACTTCTTATCTTATCTTATCTTTCAGACTTTTAAAATCCGCTGTTGGACATAGGCCTTCCCCAGTCTGCGCTACCTCGTCCTGGTATGGGTATGGTGTGAATCATAGGGATAATAATAATAACAATAATAATAATAACAATGAATAATAATAATATAATACCAATGATAACCATAATAATAGTTATAATGATGAAATAATAATAATAATAAATAAATATAATAATAATAATATAATAATAATAATAATAATAATAATAATAATAATAATAATAATAATGATGATAAATGATGAATAATGATAATAATAATAAATGATAATAATAACAAATGATAAATAATGAATAATAATAGTAATGATAATGATAATAATGTAAAATGATAATGATAATAGTAATATATTAGTATAAATAATAATAATAATAATAACACACACACACACACACACACACACAAACAACACAACACACACACACACATATATGTGTGTGTGTGTGTGGAATTCATGACGAACAGATTGCACCAGAGCAACGAAGGGAAGAACATGAAAACACACAGAGTAAGCCGAAGGCCTTTTCGCTATGTTCGTCAGCATTAGCGAAAAGGCTTCGGCATTTTCATGTGTTTTCTTGTTCTTCGCCTTCGTTGTGTGATGTTGTTGTGTGTGTATGTGTGTATGTATATATACACTACAACACACACACACACACACACACACACACATAGTAATATTGAATAATAATGATAATACAATAATAGTTAATAATAATAATAATGAATGTTATTATTATTATTATTATAAATACTGGACCGTACCCTACCACGCTGGCCCTGTGCAGGTTGATAGCGGTCCTTAAAGGTGATTTTTTGCGACAAAAATACTAGAAGAAAGAGTTTTTTTTTTTTTTTTTTTTTTTTTTTTTTTGCCATTGTTTATCGTATTTAGAGATCGTGAATATTATTATAAAGGGAGAAAGATTAGCAACATTCTTTTTTTATTACTAGTGCTACTCCTATAATGATTATTAAGATATAAGAGATCGTGAATATTATTATATTGGAGGAGAAAGATTAGCAATATTCTTTTTTATTACGTGTTACTTCTATATTGATTTATGATATATTGGAGGAGAATGATTAGCAAATAATATTGGTATTACTATAGCTACCTCTATATTGACGACTATCATAACAATTATCACTATATTGGGGATAATAATAATTTTCATAAAGTAGATAACGATTATCACTATGTCGGAGATAATAATAATTATCATTTTGAAGGAGAAAGATTAGCAATATCTGTGTTTATTACTAGTGACACTTCTTTATTGATTATAATTACATTGGAGATAATGATTATTATCAAAGTGGAGGAGAGAGATTAGCAATATAAGCGTTATTACTATTGCTATTTCTGCTACTGCTGCTGCTACTATTATTATTATACTACCTTTATTATTATCATTATCAGCATGATTAAAGACAAGGTTTATCTCATCCTTGTCTTATTTAGCGTTATTATGGTTGTGATTTTTATTTCTACCATTATCATAACTGTTACCATCAATTATTATTTGTATCTTATTGTTATTATTGTTATAATTGTTATTATCATTATCATTATCACTATTATTATTATCATCATTATTATCGTTATCATCATTAGTAGTAGTAATAGCAATAATATTATTATTACCATTATTGTCATCATCATTACCATTATCATCATTACCACCATTATTCCCATTATCATCATTATTGTCATAATGGTGATGATACTGAAATATAATATCATCATCACCACACATCGTCATCATCTTAATCGATATGATCACCACCGTCATCATCTTAATCGACACCATCATTTGACCTTTTATATGCTATATCATGTCTGTATCATGTCACCAGGAAGTGTGATAAGCGAAACAAAGTCATGGATAAAAGTGAATGTCGTTGATTAATTGCTTTCATGATTATAAAGTGAATCATGAAAGATATAAATGGATGAATTCCATGATTAATTGCTTTCATGATTATAAAGTGAATCATGAGATTTGGGGTTACTGATCGAAATGATCATGCAGTTAATTGAGATTAAATATAATGTTTTTTGGGGGTAGACTATAGAAAATGGTTAATAACTTGATCAAACACGAATTGGAATATTAGATTTATTGTCAGTAAAAAAGGCAGATTGATTCATGTGTCATATTCGATAAATTTTCAGTGAGTTTATAAGGTATAAGTGTGTAATATAAGTTTTCGATAAGTAGGTAATAGTATAGTTTTCGATCGCTAATTTATGAATATGTATGATTATACTGTGTAAGATTGCAATAAGTAATAAAAAAAACAATCAAAGTATATACTATGTTTAAATGTGAATTATAAGTTCTCGATTTGTAGATGATAAACACAAACATACAAGAAAAAAAAATAAAAAAACATAACCCTACACAAAAAGCCAAACCCCTTTACACACACTCTTACACGCTTTCACACACTCACACACACAAACAGAACAACGCTACACAAACTAAAAAAAAAACAGCGTACCTGATTCTCAACGAGCAGCGGCCGCCCTTTTCTCAGAGAACCAACAGCTAAGGGAGCGTCTATGTAACCATCTTGGTCCAGCTGGTCGAGGAGAACCAACACCAGTAACAGCGTGCCGGTTCTGCCTATTCCGGCGCTGTGGGGGACAGAAGGAGAGAGAGTGAGAGGGAGAGGAGGGGAGGGAGAGAGAAGGAGGGAGGGAAGGAAGGAGAGAGGGAGGGAAGGGGGAATGGAGGATGGTATGGAGAAAAGAGAGAGAGAGAGAGAGAGAGAGAGAGAGAGAGAGAGAGAGAGAGAGAGAGAGAGAGAGAGAGAGAGAGAGAGAGAGAGAGAGAGAGAGAGACAGAGAGAGAAAGAGAGAGAGAGAGATAGGGGAGGGAGGGAGGTATGGAGAGAAAGAGAGAGGGAGAGAGATAAAGGGAGGGAGAGAGAGAGAGAGAGAGAGAGAGAGAGAGAGAGGAGAGAGAGAGAGAGAGAGAGAGAGAGAGAGAGAGAGAGAGAGAGAGAGAGAGAGAGAGCATATAGTAGAAGTTGTGTGTTTTTGCTTATTTGTTTGTATGTATGTTTGGTTTGCGTGTCTGTATGAGCGTGTGTCGTTGTGTTGTGTGTGTGTGTGTGTGTGTGTGTGTGTGTGTGTGTGTGTGTGTGTGGTGTGTGTGTGTGTGTGTGTGTGTGTGTGTGTGTGTGTTGTGCGTGTGTGTTTATGTGCATTAGTTTATCATGTGTTTTCCTGTTTTATTGTATATTTGTTGATAGGTTGAGGATGTGAATTTTCCGTTATGAATATCATTATTATCGCTGTTTTTTCTATTTCAATTATTTTTATCATTATTTTTATTGTTATTATTATCATCATCATCCTTATCATTGATATCATTTTTATATTTTTTTCTTGTACTGTTCTCACCATTATTATCCTTATCAGTAACATTATCGTCATCATTATCAATATCATTATCCGTCAAGATAACTATCTATCAAAGTTAATTACTATCTTCATCGTCGGTGTATTAAAAAAAAAAAAAAAAAAAAAAAAAAAAAAAAAAAAATATATATATATATATATATATATAATATATATATATTAATATATATATATATAATATATATATATATATATATATATATATAATATATATATATATATATATAATTTCGGTTACAATGCTGTGTCCAGTAGGTAAATGTGGCGTGTAATGTCCGTAGAGTTTTACGCGACCGACTTCCATAGAGCGAGTTTCAGAATACTCACTATTTCGCTTTCGTTTTCTCTAATTTAATGTTAATACATTTTTCAAAATAACTTTCAAGTCTCTTTCGTTTTCTCTGTTAGTTTTAATACAATTTCTCAAAATAACTTTCTATCAAAGAAATGGTGTACTTTTATCATTTTAAAACATTATTCTAGCATACCTAAACATAAATATACGCAAAAAGTAGAATAAAATAAAATTCACGACGGCACTAAATTCATCGCCAAGACACAGCACGAGAGAATTTCGTCTTGAGATATGGAGCTGGAGGGAGGGAGGAAGACAGGAGCGTTGGGCCGTCATTAAAACGTTCGGATCTGAACACCCTAAGACCTTAAAACGTTCGGATCTGAACGCCCTAGCACCTTAAAAAGTTTGGATCTGAAAACATTAGAACCTTAACGCCTTAGGACCTTAAAACTTTAGGAC